ATTTTAAAAAATTAAATCAAAGAAAAACAGTAAAATGGAACAGGGACCCAAGCTATAACTGTGATGTGGGCTTAATCATTTAGAAGCAATATCTAATCCCCGGGCTGGTTCCCCTGGCAACCAACCATCCCGAGGCTATCCAGAAGTCAACTCGGCATATAAAAAGACATATCACTTTGCGGATGCCAAGGATCTTAGAAGTCGTATTTCAGGAAGTGTGGGTGAAGACTAAATATATATTTCACAATGTCACCATTATGAATAATGCATGTATGAACATTTTTGTCCAAGTTTATTTTGAATTTGAATATATGTTTCAATTCCCTTGGGTATATGCCTAGGAGTAGAACAGTCGGATCATATGGTAATCCCATATTTATTCTACTTTTTTCCCATTTAATTAAATGCTTATTCAATGAAAGGATGTATAAAAACTTACGGCAAATCTCAGAACTAATTAGAAGTATAATAAGATGATGGGATATTCTGTTAACATGCACATAGAGTACAGTTATTAACTAACTTTTCAAGAAACCATTAACGCTTTTCACAGTAGCTGCTGCACCAATCAGCAGCATATGGAAGACTCATGTACTCTGCATTTTTTTCTTTTCTTTTTTTGAGACAGGGTCTCACTGTGTAGTTCAAGTTGACCTTGAACTCACTATATAGCCCAGCCTGGCCTCGAACTCACAGTGATCCTCCTGCCTCAGCCTCCTGAATTTTGAGATTACAGGTGTGACACCAAGCCCAGCTTGCATTCTAACCAGCACTGGTGCTGCCACTATATTTTATTTATTTTAACCATTCTGATAGGTGCATAGGAAAATCTCATTGTGAATTTAATTGTCCTAATAGCTAATGATATTAAGAATGATGTTTTCATATGCTTATGTCATGTGAACTTCCTCTTCCATGAAATGTTTCTTAATGTCTTTTGCCCATTCTTTTTTATTTGTACCAGGGATCGAACTCAGCATATTACACTTGCCAGGCAGGCACTTACGCCACTGAGCTATCTCCCCAGGCCCCAGTCTTTTGTCCATTTTAAATTGGTTTTTAATGTTGAATTTTGAGCTGAAGAATAATGAAGATTATTCTAGACACTAGTGCTTTGTCAGATTCCTGGTTCACAAACATACCTCCTGTCCCATTCTCCAGCTTGTTTTAATCTCCTCCAGTGTCTTTCATGTAGCAAAAGTCTCAAAATTTTGATGAAGTCCAATTTATCAGCCTTTCCTTTTATGGATCAGGATTTTAATGTCAACCCTAAGATTTTTTTTTGTCTACCTGATGTCCTGAAGGTTTTCCTCATGTTTTGTCTAAAACTTTCACAATGTTGTTTGACATAAACGTCTATGATCTGCTGGGCATGGTGGCACATGTCTGCAATCCCAGAACCTGGGAGACTGAGGCAGGAGGATCGTTGTGAATTTAAGGCCAGCCTGGGCTACAAAGTGAGCTCAAGGCCAATCTGAACTGCATAGTGAAACCCTGTGTCAAAAAGACCAAAAAAAAAAAAAAAAAAGAAAAGAAAAAAAGGTCTATGATCCATTTCAAGTTAACTTTTGTGTACAGAGTGAGACTTAGGTCAAAGATTGCTTTTTTCCTTTCTCATTTCTGGTTGTCCAACTACTTTAGCACTTTTTTTTTTGGATACAGAGTCTTGCTGTGTAGTTCTGGGTGGCCTTGAGCTCACTGTGTATCCCAGGCTGGCCTCAAGCTCATCCCAGGCTGGCCTGAAGCTCTCAACAATCCTCCTGCCTCAGCTTCCATGCTCTGGTATTATAGGTGTGTGCCACCATGCCCAGCCACATTAGCACTTTTTGTTGAAAAGGCTATCTTTTCTCCATTGAATTGATTTTGGGTCTCTATAAAAAATTAACTTTGGTGTGTTTGAACAGGTGGTTATGTGTCTTTTTTTTTTTTTTTTTTTTTTTTTTGTACCAGGGATCAAACTCAGGACTATGCGCTTGCCAGGCAGGTGCTTAAGCTGCTGCATTTATCCCTGGTTATGTCTTGAAATTCATATTCACTCAATATATGTGCTATAGTATTTATGGTGAAAACGTATTTTGGGATTTGCTATGAAATAATCCAGTGGTCACAGAATGAGAAATAGAGATGAAATAAGCTTGACCATACGTTATTAACTGTTGAGCTGTGTGTAATGTGTACAGAGAGGTTATGCTGTTCTGTCTAGTATAGGTTAGATCTGAATAAAGAAATGAATGAGACCACAATTAAAGCCAGGGAAAGAACCTGAAGGTGTCAAAACAAGTGACAATGCAAGCTTGCGGTATGGAGGCAGCAAGGGAGGGAAAGAAAAACTAAAGGATATAAACTGTATTGCAGGAACAAGGCCCACAATATTAGCTGAATGCTTGATACAGGGAGAAATGGATGGAAGTAGTGGATAAGGATTAAAAAAGTAATTTGAATTAAACAGATTGAGCAAATGGCCAAAACAAAAGGGAAAGCAAGTTTTTGGAGGAAAGCATCATATGTAGGGAATGAGAAATCTTGTTCCTTCCAATATGTTTGAATAGTAGAGTTCAAAGAAAACTGCCAAGTGGAAAATCGCACTGAGGGCCCAGGAATTCAGAGGTACTATCAGGGCTGGGTGTGGGGTTATGAGTGTTGTCAGGACGCAGCAGATTTTAAAGAATAAGTGATTAGCTAATATCATCAGGGAGTGAACATGAAGAGGGATCGAGAGATGTTTTAGGATTAGGATCTCTAGTAGGTCATCCAATAGAAGCTGATCAAGGGAGAAGCCATTAGTAAGGTTAACGAAGAGCAGTTAGTGCAGAAAGAGGAGAAATATAAGAGTGAATATCCTTAAAGCCAAAAGGGGAATGGTTTAATTACGAGAGACTGGTCAACAGTAGCATCAAGCATAAATGATGGCAGAGGCCCAGCTGGGTGATTCTTTTGTCCTCAGGTAGGTCCACTCAGCATATGAGGCAGATGAGCTGGGGGCTGGTGGTATAAGACAGCCTCATTAGAAATTGTTTTTCTCTGCTACATGTGGTCTCTTGAAATTACTGGCTTATTCACAGAATAGATGGCTGTACAAGATTTCTTAAAATCTTTGTTATTAGGGACCTAAACCAGGGCCTTGCACATGCTAGGCAAACATTCTACCACTGAGCTACAAATTCAGTCCCTTGAAGTCTTAAGGACTTCAGGCTCAGAACTGGCCAAATAGCACTTCCATCGCATACTGAGGCCAAAGAAAGCAATAAGGGAGCCTAGGCACAAAGGGGGATGAGTGGTTTTCATTTCCTGATGACAGCTATCCAGTCATATTATAAAGAGGAATAGATTGAAGGAAGAAAGTAAATGTGGTCTTTTTTTTGTTTTGTTTTCAAATAATGTCCTTTGATATCATTGGGCCGGTATAGTTTCTATGGAGCTGGAGAAGAGAAGCCCAGTTGGAGTGAGTTCAGGAGAGAATACGAGGATTGGAAGTGTAGACAATGACATATGTTTTGCATAGCTGCCAAACAGGGTTGGTCAAAAATGACTATTTCATAATGGAGAACGTTTAATATGCCAATGTGAATGATTTGGTGCAAAGGCAGAAACTGATTTACAGAAACAAATGAGATTCCAAGATTTAAGTCCTTGCAAAAGCAAGAAGAGTTTGTGGGTAAAAGACAAACAAGAGCAAAAGAGGACAGTGGAAGGGGTGAGCTTAGATAAGGATAAAAACTTCCTTTCTGCTGGAGGAAGGCAGCAAGTGTGGGACGCGAGAGTGGAGGATAAGATGAGGAGTATGGAGTCCATTCTGCTGTTTCCTTTGTTCAGTATGGTGATTCCACCATTTGAGGTCAAGAGGAAATGAGGGAGAGGTAGATGTGAAGAGGAAAGAGAGAATATGGAACCTTTAGATCAAAAGACAACCCTCAAAGAAGTATCTTGGGAAATTTGTCCACAGATTTGTTGTCTTGAATATAAAACTATACCACATGTATGATGACTTTTCCAATCATCTGCTGCAGGGATGAAGTGGGGAGAGGGTGGGGCTCATGCAAAAGTGGAGGGGGCATTGGTGGTGTAATTGTAAGAGAATGCTAAGGTGGTATGACAACAAGAATTAGCAGTAATACAGTGGTCAGGCCAATCTCTGGGAAGTCCTGGTCAGACTGAAGAAACACTTGTATTAGTGCATCAGAATGTCTTATGGGAGAGGGTGACACATTTTTTCTCTAAAGGGCCAGAGAGATATTCTAGACTTGATGTTCATACACTTGCAACTATTTGGCCCCAGGCCATACTTTCTGACCTCTGTTCTAGAGTATAGAAGGCAACAACAGGGGCCAGCAAGATAGCTCAGCATACTAAGCGTCTTCTTAGGCAAGTGTAGTGACTGGAGTTCAATCCCAGTACCACATGCTACACTGGCCCCATCCCTGTCCCCAGGAGCTCTGAGCCAGCCAAGACCTGGTGTAGTGGTACATGCCTGCCATTCCAGCACTGGAGAGGCTGAAAACAGGAAGATCACTATGAGTCTGAGCTGCATAGTAAGACCTTATACCATGTACATTAAAAAACAAAAACGAACAAACAAAGCAGAGGTAACAATAGAAATAAACATCAGAGACCAGGGAGAGTGGATCAGATGAATAGTGTTGCTGTGGTGATTTATGAAATGATGCCCAGAATCTTCAGGAAAGTGAAGACCAGTTTCTCCCAATTACAAGTTCAGCAGAGATGGTATCAGGGTTATGTAAGGGGACTCCTGGCTCTACATCTATGGAGACAAGACTGAGCCACTGTTTCTTGGTTTGGATGCAGAGTCAGGCCAAACATGGTCATAGGCACTGAGGTGCTGGCCTGCACTGAAGTCTTTCCCCAGGTGGAGGAGGAGGGGCTGGGCCTGAATTCCTGGTGCAGTGTTCCTGGTGTTGGGGCTCAGATCCTGTCACTGTAGTATTAACTGATGCTCACAGACCAAGGTCAGGCATTTATTGAGGCCTTCATGCCACAGGCTTTTAGATGGACAAGATTTCAATGTGGAACTCTGGTCGCTTGAAAAGAGCTCCATACTGTACCTGTGAAGTGTCTTTGTTCTGGAAGACAAGGCTGCTGTTTAGGGGCTGGTACACACAAAGAGCATCACATATTTGATAGTAATATTGACGACACTGCTGCATGCGGATCCAGGACTGGAGCTTGACTGCCGATTGTTCCTGGATCACATACATTCTCAGAAGGCGCTGGTGCAGCTTCTGGTGTTGTCTGTGCAGGATTGTTCTCCACCAGCACTGAATCATCCAGGCCCTGAGGGCAGCAACCAGCAGGGTCCGGCGTACCAGGTTGCCACGCCACCAGGCCTGGATCTTTCCAGCTGCCTTAACCCTTTTTCGGTGACGTTTTGCAAGAAGCAACTAAAAAGGCAAAGAAATGATCCTCAGTAAATTTGCCGCCATCAGACAGGTGGTTCTCTGTAGTTGGTTCTTGCCCTGGTGCTACTGAGGACCCAGGAGGACTGGTTAGGGTGTTCCCTCTACTTTTGCCTTGTGCATGGCTACAGCCACATATGCTTTCTGTCTGAGCTGCACTACCCTCATCCATGAAGTAGGGAAATTCTTGCTTTGTGGACTTCACAGGTTTGTAGAACCAACAGAAACTTCCTGATGCAAAAGACCCACTGTGTGAGAGGAGTCAAAGGATCTCATGATGAGGAACCTCTACAACTGTGCTTGAACCCCAGTCCTGAACCAGCCTAGCATGCAGCCTCCTGACACCTCATGCAGGATGCTACTGGGACCCTGTCTCTATTGACATCTGTGCCTATCTCTAGTCACTCTGCACCCCTACAAACCCAAGCCAACCCTTATTTATCTTTCCACTTCCCACTGTGCTGGGCCTCAGCACTGTGTTCTGTGAAGAGTTCACTCAGAAGAGGGACTGGATTGAGGTAGGAGGAGGAAAGCAACGCTAAGCCAAACCTAATAAGACCACAGATGGCTCTTGCATTTTCAGGAACCTTGAGGCCTTTGACTCTTTCATGCTTCTTGGTTCCACCTACCTTCCGTTGCCGTTCTCTCTCTTCTATTTTTAGTAGTTCTATATCTGGACCACACTTCTGGAATCAGAATGGGGGGGTCATGGGTGAGGGCCAGTCACTGGGCAAAGTCACCACAGTATCTGCTTCCCACACCTTGCCTGTGTGCCCTAGAGCTCTCCAGGTCCTCCCTCCATGTGGGACATCTCCCCCCACCCAGAGGAGTGAGTCTGATGGCATCTTACACAACATTGACTTCCCATGATGGAGGGGGGTGGGTGCTGAGGTGATCATCCCCTCTGCTTGCTGCTTCTTTAAGCTGGACAAGGGCAGCACAGCTGATAGAGGCAGAGATGCCCATGATGTCACAAGGGCAGGTGTGACCAAGGACTGTTTTCTTCTCCAGACTCAAAGGCGTTGGAGAAAATGAAACACCTTCCTATTGCCCTTCTGTTAGGGATGGACCAGAGTCCTCAGGATTGGTGAGTCTTTTCTGCATCGAGGATGACTTCTGGTCCACCATCAGGTTTATTCTATACCAGCTGCCAAAAAAGAGCAGCTCATATGTCATGGGGCACATGGGCCTCCCCACCATGCTAACTCAAGCTGGACCCCATGTCATCTGCCTTCCTGCCATGGTGGACTTCTTAGGAGGAAAGTTGTCCATTTTTAAATTAATTGGTACAATTTATATATACATAATGATCATGTTCATCATAGGGAATTTGTACTTATGCATGATATATCTTGATTCCTATTTTTCCCCTATTTCTCCCCCTTCAACACCTCCTCCTTTTCCCCCATTGTTTCTATTTTATCCTTTTTCCGCATTTTTCCTTTTCTATTCCTTCCTTTTTTCCTCCCTAGTTCCTTTTTTTTTTTTTTTTTT